CTCGGCCACAATGCCGGTGTGGCTCTCATGGCTGCGCTACTGCTCTATCGTGTACTACGCCTTCTTGAATATGCAAATGAGTGAGTTCTTCAACGGACCTCCAATCAAGTGAGTCAACACATCCACACCAATCCTATTCATTCATTTCATGTCCATTTCATTGATTTCATGTCCATTTCATTGTTTCCATATATCAGGTGTTCAACAAAGACGTCCCAATTCTTGTCGTGTAATTTAAATGAAACTCATTATCAAAACGAGAGTATTTCGCAAACGATTCCTTATTCGGAACTATCGGTTCACTTGGATATCATGATTATATCAGGTGTTCAACAAAGACGTCCCAATTCTTGTCGTGTAATTTAAATGAAACTCATTATCAAAACGAGAGTATTTCGCAAACGATTCCTTATTCGGAACTATCGGTTCACTTGGATATCATGAATGAAGGCTCTGAACCGCTGCCCATTTGGTTCAATACTATAGTATTAATATTATTTTTGATTATATTCCGATTTATGGGATATTTAGTACTCAGATATTTCCGAAAACCAAAATAAATGAATATTTTTCTAATTTTATAATTTTTACAATCATGTTAATCATGTTTCATTGATAAGTAAACAATAATTTAATAATATTTTTCGTGCCAAACAATCGTATATATAAATGTTGGCCATAAATACATAGAAACACTGCTATCAACCAAATTCTACATTTTGGGTGAATTAATACCCGGTGTTTAACTCTTACGACTGCCTTAAACCACTTATATATCAAACTCTTATATTTTATTTTATTTAAATTTCATATTTTTGTAAAATTCTCATCAATTATATATCAAAAAGAATTCAAATTTTGTTTCAATTATTTTAATATAATTATTATTAAATATTATTTTATAATAAGAATATTCTTATTTCTTAAGAATTCAATAATGAAATGTTTTTACGTATTGTTTTCTATTGATATATAAATTATACATCTTCTTCGTGTATCCCATTAATGAACTCTAGATTTATTGATAAAACTATATTAAATAAGTCCATGTATTTTTTATATTTTCAAAATGCTTGTGATATTACACTTAAATCAAATGACAATACACTCCAATTGTTGGATTTTTTAATTATTAAACATATATTTCATATAATAAAATTATTAAATTTATAAAAATTATTAATTTTACTAATAAAAAATCAAAATCCAAGGCCTAATAAATTTATTAATTGTAATTTATTAAACTTTATTTTATTAAGAATATACAGTATCTGACAATCTATGAAAATAATTGATTTTTTTATTGCATAACTATCCAACTCATCTATCAAATTTATTGTCAAAAAATGTAAATAATTTCTATAAAATGACACACAATATGATTAAATTTATTTTAATATGATTTTGGCATAAATTCTTTACATTTATTATACTGTACCGTATAATATACGGCGTATATAAAACTTTTATTATTTATCAAAATATTTGTTAATACTGTACATTATTTTATTTTAATATTCAAATTTCTTGCATACTTTCTTATGTAATTTCTTGTGTATTGAGAATAGTTTAATCTGTTATATGGTATAGTTTTTATGTTCAAACAGATTCTCAAATTTGGAAATAATATGACACCGATAGGTAATTAAAGCCAAAGAAAGTTAGAGTTTTAGGATAAAAGGATTAATTTGAAAGTTTATTACAGTGAGGATTATTCAATGTAATCTTTCAAATTAGAATATCTATATAAATATAGAAATTCTTGAACTATACTATTATTAATAATATTTAAATAAATTTAAAATTCTTGTAAATTTAATTTAATTAGAAAGAACATATATTTATTGACTAAAGAGTAATACAGAATGTAGAAACTATTTTAATAGCATTTATTAGTCAAAATACAAATATTAGTTAATTAACTCGCAAAATAACATAGAAAAAAGTATAAAAATTGTTGAAACAGTACTCATACAGAATGTGTACATTGAATGATAAGAATCGCATCCACGTCCACATCCATAAGTCATGCGCGTTGTAGTGATTCTTGGATTAAATCATATCAATCGTTATTTTGGTTTTGAACAGAACTGAACAGAAGGGAAGGCTTTAATAAGGAAATAGAGAGAATGTGATTAATAAAAGTTATGATCATATAATTGATAAAAATACATTATTTATATGCGAATTGATTATTTCAAATGGAGTGATGAAGACCTCGAGCCCTGAAACCGAAGTTCACAAGAGTGTCAATTCAAGCAATATATGGCCCGAAGACGTTCACGTTAAAGATAATTGTTGTTTGAGGTGATCCACTNCAGATACTGTATATTCTTAATAAAATTAAGTTTAATAAATTACAATTAATAAATTTATTAGGCCTTGGATTTTGATTTTTATTAGTAAAATTAATAATTTTTATAAATTTAATAATTTTATTATATGAAATATATGTTTAATAATTAAAAAATCCAACAATTGGAGTGTATTGTCATTTGATTTAAGTGTAATATCACAAGCATTTTGAAAATATAAAAAATACATGGACTTATTTAATATAGTTTTATCAATAAATCTAGAGTTCATTAATGGGATACACGAAGAAGATGTATAATTTATATATCAATAGAAAACAATACGTAAAAACATTTCATTATTGAATTCTTAAGAAATAAGAATATTCTTATTATAAAATAATATTTAATAATAATTATATTAAAATAATTGAAACAAAATTTGAATTCTTTTTGATATATAATTGATGAGAATTTTACAAAAATATGAAATTTAAATAAAATAAAATATAAGAGTTTGATATATAAGTGGTTTAAGGCAGTCGTAAGAGTTAAACACCGGGTATTAATTCACCCAAAATGTAGAATTTGGTTGATAGCAGTGTTTCTATGTATTTATGGCCAACATTTATATATACGATTGTTTGGCACGAAAAATATTATTAAATTATTGTTTACTTATCAATGAAACATGATTAACATGATTGTAAAAATTATAAAATTAGAAAAATATTCATTTATTTTGGTTTTCGGAAATATCTGAGTACTAAATATCCCATAAATCGGAATATAATCAAAAATAATATTAATACTATAGTATTGAACCAAATGGGCAGCGGTTCAGAGCCTTCATTCATGATATCCAAGTGAACCGATAGTTCCGAATAAGGAATCGTTTGCGAAATACTCTCGTTTTGATAATGAGTTTCATTTAAATTACACGACAAGAATTGGGACGTCTTTGTTGAACACCTGATATATGGAAACAATGAAATGGACATGAAATCAATGAAATGGACATGAAATGAATGAATAGGATTGGTGTGGATGTGTTGACTCACTTGATTGGAGGTCCGTTGAAGAACTCACTCATTTGCATATTCAAGAAGGCGTAGTACACGATAGAGCAGTAGCGCAGCCATGAGAGCCACACCGGCATTGTGGCCGAGTAGTAGCCGGCGAACAGCATCGTTGACAAGGAGTACAACGCCGAGAGTGTGACCGACACTTCTAAGTCAGTACAGGAGGCGCCTATGAATAGACCCACACTTTGAGCACAAACTGTCGAGAGTATGAGAAAAGCCCACAACGAGAGGAATGTGGATGTGTTGGACCAGCCGAGCATTGGGTACGATATTATGAAGAATACTGACGGCAGGGTTATTGTGAGTGGAAGTTCTCCAATCATTTTTGCGATATAGTAAGAGGACAGACGGTAGGCACCCGACGATCGCTCTTTGTTGATGACGTCTCTCTCAGAGGGAAACGATATGAGGGCCCCGAACAGCGCAAAGAGCATCCAATAGGTTGTGGCTGAATATGAAGACAATGTAAGCAATGATTGTATATATATATGGTTATCCACTTACTGAAGAACATCCATCCCCTCACATCGTTGAGTGTGTCCTCACTCCTGACCACTTGAAACCATATAAGTCCGGCCACTAGTGCTAAGGCAATGGTTTGAATCCAATTCAGTTTAGAGAGCATTCGATGTCGCGCTTCAAAAAAGTTGCGTTTCGTTAATACTCTGAGTTGAGTCCAGAAGCTGGTCGGCCACTTCTGGTCCATTGGCTGCGAGTATAAGTTAATGCAAATCTCATCATTGTATGAACAGTTGGACGAGAAGGTTGAGGTTGAGCTGCGGTCGGTCTGAGACCAAGAAGACCTGCCGGAGTCGTCGTCACAAACAATCTTATCGTACACTCGATGCAAACCCTTCTCGTCGTCAATAACGACATGCAATTCAATTGGTTTCAGATTCTCGTGATTGTCAATCAATTGATCTGATTCCTCGTGAAAGTTGTGTGACTCATGACTCTGGTCTTCCTTATAGGAACTATGGGTCAGAACGGCGTCGTCTGATTCATCGGAAGGCAATTTAGGCAGAGCTTTGGCTGCAGTGATGATCTTCTCCTGGAGTGAAGTGTTCTTCACTTTCTCCATAACAAAATCTGCCGGATTATAGTGCGAACTGATCTCCAAACCAATACCATTGAAGAAGGGAACAACTGCTGAAATATCTCCAAAATAGGCTAATCGTCCGCAACATAACAGCAATAACTTGTCGATCATATAAAACATTTGAGACGATGGCTGATGAAGAGTGGCCACAATTGTCTTCTTCTCTTTCACCGCATAGTCCTTCAGTGTTTGCATCAGACTATGAGCTGTACTCGAATCTAAACCCGATGTCGGCTCCTATACATCATTTCAATGATATTTTTGGTAATGTTTTAATAAATAATTGAGTCTTCATTTGAAACTTACATCAATTAAGAGAATATTAGGATTGGTTAACAATTCACAGGCAATGTTCGCCCTCTTCTTCTCGCCTCCCGATAGGCCTCTCTTCATAATATCTCCAATTACTAAATCACATAAATAGTCAAGTGTTAACTGATTTACGCCATGAGTAATACAAAATAAAACCTACTGGTGTCCTGACAGTGCCTTAGATCGAGAACATCAATAATCTTCTCCACATGACTGGCCTTTTCATTAAAGTCCATTGAGTCTGGAAGCCTGAGTTGTGCCGTATACTGCAATATGTATTATATTCTTAATTCATGCCATTATATGTATTGTAATTATCGTCAATTACAAATGAACATTTAGTTAAATGATATATTCAAAGTGATTGAATTTTAATGATTATATACAGTATCATAAAATCACATTTAATGCTAAATGATTTGTATATGTAGCTAGAAAATTTTCAATACTTTTTAAAAATATATTAAACAGATCTTTTAATTACCTATTAATAATACATGTAAGTTTGACAATTAAATTATATTGTGTACATCATGTTAACTAATATATTATAGATAATAGTGTAAATTATTAAAATAAATGGAAACATTTAAATGTCCTTAATGTCTTAATAGTTGGTCATAGGCATGGTTTTTCATACAGTATTTATGCAATTTAATTTATGTGATAAAACAATATTTTTATTTAAAATTAAAAAATGTTCAGACCCACTTTTATTGTGTTTTATCAATATCTCCATATATACCTTATTATTAAATATGAAAATAAATAACTCTCTAGTCGTAGTAATGATCTTAAAAAGTTTTATAAGATTTCAGATTAAATATTAGCATACTTTCGGTCCTAATAAGAATCTTAATCATAAACTTTTTTATAAAATGTTTTATTTGTTTGCAATTTTAAAATTATTAATTTTTAGAATTTTAAACACAATATGCTGTAATAATTTAAATTAAATACCAAAATTATTACTACGATATATTTAAATAATTAATTTTATTATATTCTCAAAATGTTTTCAAACATTAAGTAAGTTTAGAAAGAATTGATTGTAAGTGAGATTTGAGTGAAAATTATTTAAATATAATTATACGTTAGTGTCACTATTCTGTACAATATAATACTGTTGCTATAGCCTATAGATTTTATGTTATAAAATCACATTATATTGAGTTCAGTATTAAAAATACTTTCACTTATTTTGCCTTTGAATAGGAATTAAATGTTATAGTAATCTAAAATTAAGGCAAAGATATTATCTAAGATCGAGAAAACTTTAAAGATTTATTTAAATTTGCAAAATTTATTCAAAAATCGTTGCAAAACTTTTTAAGAACATTAGATTTTTACGATGAAAAAGAGGTTATACTCTACAGAGCTTTCAATTGGGAACAAATCGCACAAAATTAGTTCACAACTGATTCCCACTTTCACTGGTTTCGCAATTAAGCGAAACATTAAATTGTAAAATATTTTACTTTATAAGTATATGACTTAAAGTGGAATTTATATATTAGTCTCAATTTGACATTTTTCACACAATTTGAAGCGTGAATTGACATAAATGGTTCGGTAGTAACAAAAACATACTTACAATTAGTGTTTGTCTGAGAGTAAGACTGGGGAAGAAGATGTCCTGTTGTAAGACATAACATATTTTACGTCTCAATTGCTTATTAATTGCTTCGCCATTCATAGTAATGCACCCGCAGTTGGGTTTCAATCGTCCACTTAATGTACTTAAGAGAGTAGTCTTTCCACTACCCGACGGTCCCATTACTGCTAATACCTGTCCGGGTTTGGCGTAACCACTGATATCCCGAAGAACTCTTCGTTCTTGTGGTGATTTAGCGCTCAATGATTTTGATTTAATAGAAACGGAAATATTTTGAAAAACTAATTCAATGGGCCGTTGACTTTGATTAGGGTTGACATGACTGTGAGACTGATCCACAGTATGAGTGGTATGAGTCCGTTCAGGACTAAGAGGAATGCGGTGCTCGAGAATGTCTTCTTCGGGATTCATCTTCGCGTCTAATCGATGTAAAAGTGAGGAACAGTTGGTTCGTGTGTTTTGTGATCTGCGAGAATAGAGAGTAAAAGTGGTTTTGAGACAACTTCTCAGTGACTGTAATGTCAGATGCAATGTATGTGGGACTGGGATCACAATGAAGTGGACTATGGTTTCTAAATTTATGGAAAACTAGTGGTCAAAGCAATGACAATGAAGGCATTTCATGAATACTTGTGCGAGTCTTATGACCCAAATAGCAAACAAATGCATCTTTTCATGTATTGTGCGCTCAAACTAATTCTGATGGTCTGTTTGACGGCCAGGTCATCGTCAGGTGCACTGACTTCACTGCATTCATGTCTAACCAATAGCCAGTCTTATGCAAAAGTGGACATAAAAAGGGAAAGTTTTTTACACGTTTGTAGGCTAAGCGCTAATAGAGCTGATAGTCTAACATCTTTGAACGTAATATTTAATGTCCTGAGGGCTCGACTTTTCTTTTCACTCGCAAAGCATCCAGTCTTACAGAGTATGGATGGTATGGAGAGTCATGGAGTCATGGAGTCAATGTCCTGCACCTCACTTTGAGCGCACAATTATGCCTCAGGAGCTCCTGTGGCCTCCTTTTCACTTTCACCACTTATTGCTAACATTCCTATTACGAATACAGTACTCTACAGTACGAATACAATACCATACAGTGTTATACACTATATCTGTGCACTCATTGCACCACAACTCACACCACTGTCCACATTGGACACCACAATACTCAACAACACTGTCCTTCACTCATACTCTACTCTATACTCTATTCCCTCCAATCTGTTATTGACTGCAAAGTGTTTCCAATACTAAATCTTTATATATGACAACAACTTCCCAACAAAACATAGTATGAGTTCAGTTTTCTTCTCATTATTGGCGTTGCATTCACTCGTAAATAGTCTTCAGACATAATCACAACACAACCAAAACGCAGCATCTGTGCCCTCCCGGCCCTTCACTATATCTAACATTAAGTATAAGATATGTTGAGAGGGGAGAGAGAGAGAGAGAGAGAGAGACAACCCTATCCCAAAGTGTTGTGCAACTCTGAGTACAACCTTATAATAAAGAGCAGAAAGTTTCCTCTAAAAGTAATTTTTACTTAAATTAGATTTGAATTCTTTTACTCTTTGTCTTCAAATTTAAGTGATTTATAATTGTATGTTTTGGAGGTGTGCTCTTTAAATAGCCATAAATTTTTAATCAGTTTTAAAAGATACATAAATTTTAAGAAATAAATTAAGCGTCCAATTGGTTTTCATTCAGTAAAATTAATATTTAATATTAAAGTTGTTTGTAAATTTATATTATAAAATAAAAGCTTATAATATCCTAATAAATAAAAATATGAAATGCTAAAACAGTTTTTAGTTTTCTCAGAAATGGAGAGAGAG